CAACAATGACCAGGAGTCCCTCTCCACTCTAAACGAGGTAGACCGGCAAGGCTAAGGTCACAGTCTTGGCATGACAGTCCAAGATAGCGTGGTAAGGTGATAACCAGACCATCCCCAATATGACATCAAAATCAACCATGTCCAGAAGTAACAAATCTACACGAGTCCCAAGACCCCCAATCACAACTATACACGAACTATGGACTCGATCTACCACAATAGAATCACCCACCGGTGTAAACACATATACAGGAGCACTCAAACAATCACTAGGCATGACCAGATATGGTGAAAAATAAGATGACACATAGGATTATGTAGATCCTGGATCAAATAAAACAGAAGCATCTCTACTACAAACCAGAACAGTACCTGTGATAACTGCATCGGAAGCCTCAACCTCAGGCCTGGCTGGTAGAGCATAATATCGGGGCTGAGCCCCTCCACCCTGAACTACATCTCTGGGACGACCTGCTGCTGGCTGGCCTCCACCTCTAGCTACCTGACCTCCACCTCTAATACCTCTGCCTCCAACTCTAGCACCTCTACCCCCACCCCTAACTGGCGGAGCGGGCGGTGGAACACCTGGCGCCTGAACCATAGCACGGGAATCCTGCTGCTGCAACTGAGTACCCACTAATCTCGGACAAGCCCTCCAGATATGACCATACTCACCGCACTCAAAGCATCCACCTGAGAGCTGCGGCTGAGGAAACTGAGACTGACCCTGGCGACCTGAATGACCATCCCGAAAACTCTAGAACGGCGGTGCACTGATAGGAGCTGGTGGTGTACTATAGGGCTGCTGATCAGAATACTACATATGAGAACCACGGCCTCGGCCTCGCTCTATGCCCCTCGTGGGAGCTACTGTTGAGGGCTCAGGCTACTGGTCGGTGGATGAGGAAGCGCGTGTTCTCGCCATCTGCGAAAAAATAAAGTAGAAATTCAATTATCATTGAGAAACCAAACCGCACGACAGGAAAGGATAGACGTGAAATTTTTCCTAACTCTATAGCCTCTGGGGGGTAAATACAGAAGTCTCCGTACCGATCCCTCAAACTCTACTAAGCTTGTCTGTGAATTGTGAGACCCATGTAACCTAGAGCTCTGATACCAACTTGTCACGACCCGAATTTCCCACCCTCGGGAGTCGTGATGGCTCCTACTAATGAAAGCTAGGCAAGCCAACTGTTTGAACCAATTATCTTTTCCCATTTTTAATCCTTTAACCGCTAGGAAATAATAGCTTATAAACAGCGTAATTTTAAACAAGCGGAAGAAACGATAAAATATTTGAATAAATATCTAATACAACATATTAAGCAAAGTCTACCCAGAACTGGTGTCACACTTCACAGACAGTCTAGAATTACTACAAACAAGGTCTGAAAGATAAATAATACACTGTTTCTGAAATATGTAAATGAAATAGGATGAAGGGATAGAGGGAGACGCTAGGGCCTGCGGACGCCTGCAGGACTACCTTGGATCTCCGTATGGACTGAAGGCAGCCACCCAAGCTAAGGTCCAAAAGTTGCTGCACCGGGATCTGCACGCAGTGCAGAGTGTAGTATCATCACAACCGACCCCATGTGCTGGTAAGTGCCTAGCCTAACCTCGGCGAAGTAGTGACGAGGCTAGGACCAGACTACTAAATGATCCTGTGCAGTAATAGCATATATCGTAGAGAAATAAAAGCAGAAATATACAATTAAGGATGGGAAGGGGCACATGCTGCGGGGGAATATCATTTACCAACAGTAACTCAGGAGAAAAGCATAAAGGACCAAATTATATTTTGCAGCAGAACGAATAAGGAAACCGTAGCTAAACAATAATCACTTTTATCCTTTACTATTGCGGCTCGCAACCCGATCCAAATCATACATAAACATTGTTGCGACGTGCAACCCGACCCAAATATAATATTGTTGCGGCATGCAACCCGATCCAAATATAGTATTGTTGCGGCGTGCAACCCGATCCAAATATAGTATTGTTGCGGCATGCAACCCGATCCAAATATAATTCAACACCTATCACAAAAGATTCCCGGCAAGGTAACAATAAGGAAACAACAATATCCCGGCAAGGGAATGGACAGTAAGAAATAAATACATCCCGGCAAGGGAATCAGCTATAACCAAACTTGTTTCAACTTTTAACTTCTCAACAGAACCCTCGTCTAGAACCAATATTCAACCATAAGAAATTTTTCACGAGATTAATCATAACTCTTGTCCAACACAGAGAATCAACAACTTAAGCATTTGTAGTACTTATTAAGAACACGACAATTTCAATTTAAGACTCACGGGCATGTTTGACACCAACGCATAGATAGTTGTCACCATGCCTATACGTCGTACTCAACAAATAACACATAGCAAATAGGACTCGACTCCTAATTCCTCAAGCTAAGGTTAGACCAAACACTTACCTCAAACTTCCACGGCCAACTCAAGCCTCAAACACCGCTTTTCCTTTAGAATTCGCCTCCAAACAACTCGTATCTAGTCCAAATTGATTAATTACATCAATAAATGCTAAATGAATCAATTCTAATGCATGAAAATAAGTTTTCTAAAGTTTTTCCCAAAAAGTCAAAAATCGCCCCCGGGCTCACATGGTCAACACCCGAGGTTCGAACCAAAATTCGATTACCCATTCCCCCACAAACCCAAATATATAATTTGTTTTGAAATCAGACCTCAAATCGAGGTCCAAATTCCCAAAATTTGAAAAACCTAGGTTCTACCCGAAACACTCAATTTCCCCCATGAAAACCTTTGATTTTGATTTGAAATCATGTGAAAAGATGTTAAAGATTGAAGAAAACGAGTTAGAAACAACTTACAATCGATTTGGAGAAGAAATTTTCTTTGGAAAATCGCCCGAGAGAGTTTGTGTTTTGAGAAGATGTGAAAAATGGCTGAAAATGCGTCTAAGTGTGAATTAACCGGTCTCAGATATCGCAATTGTGACCAGGGTTCGCAATTGAGAACTCCTCAGAAATGTGCAATTGTCACATTTGCGAATTAAGTATCGCAATTTCAAAGTCGCTTTTGCGATCGGATTTTCGCATTTGCGACCAAGGGGAATTCCAGGCCACTTCGCAAATGCGATGGGCCTCTCGCATTTGCGAGATCGCTTTTGCGATCACTACGTCGCATTTGGGACCCCAAGGCAGACCAGGTCCTTTCGCATTTGCGATGACATTTCTCGCATTTGCGAGCCAGGCTTCGCAAATGCAAAGCCTGCAGACCTGCAACATACCAGCAATTTTCTAAGTTAAAATTCCACTCAGTGGCCTATCCAAAAATCACCCGAGCCCTCGGGGCTCTAAACCAAACATGCACACCAACCTAAAAATATCATACGGACTTGCTCGTGCATTCAAATCACCAAAATAACATCAACAACTATGAATTTAGCATCAAAACCATGAAATCACTTAAGAACATCAAATTTTCCAAATTTTCTCAATTAAGGTCCGATTCACGTCATTTCAAGTCTGTTTCTTACCAAACTTCACAGACTCAACTTAGATCACATATAAGACCTATACCGTGCTCCGAAACCAGAATACGGGCCCGATACCATCAAATTTCAAACACATTTCATTTTCAAAAACTCATAAATATTTCAGAAAATAATTTTCTTCAAAAGTTTATTTTTCGGTTTTGGGACCTCGGAATTCGATTTCGGGCATACGCCCAAGTCCCATATTTTCCTACGGACCCTCCGGGACCGTCAAATCACGGGTCCGGGTCCGTTTACCTAAAATGTTGACCGAAGTCAACTTAAATTCATTTTAAAGGCAAAATTCATCATTTTCCACAGATTTTCACATAAGGGTCTTCCAGCTACGCGCCCGGACTGCACACGCGAATTGAGGTGAAACAGAAAGAGGTTTTTAAGGTCTTGGAACACAGAATTTATTTCTAAAACAAGTGATGACCTTTTGGGTCATCACACGTAAGGTCTGCGTACACACTACCTTCCCCGGACCCCACATGTGGGATCTCACTAGGTTATTGTTGTTGTTGATTTGGTAATCAATAACTACTCCGTGCTATAAATAAAAAGAAGAAATAGGTTAGGTTTGAGTGCTTCACTTTACTGATGTAACAACTTAATTGCAGTCTTGCATGTTAACATTCCCTATCAGGATTTTGTTTTTTAATTTTCAAGGATTGAAATCTTTGGGACCTTTAGTTAAAGGTTGAAAGGATTTTATTCATCACATCGTAATTTTTTGACAGTACTGTGAGATTTGTTATTTTAAAATGATTTTACGTCAAAATTGTGTAGCTTTCGTGCCACCTAATCCCTTCATTTGATATAACTCCCACTGATCTTTCTTGGTTTTGTGGAAATAACTAATATCACACGTTTGTCTACCCTCTGACAGGGACTTAATACCAATCTTTACAATCATAAGCTTATCTAAAATCTTTTAGTTTCATTGAATAGTAACCCCATACCTCTATTGAGTCTGATTTCCCTAGAGGATAAATATTTATACTATTTGCGACAAAATAATTAGCTATATATATAGTGTCATTTTCCCAAAAATTACTCTTCACATCATTCAAACCTCTAATCTATTGAGTGTAAATTAAGCGCTACTTGTGATTAATGAGGGATTTATACATAATAAGTTGAAATTCCAACAATGTCTACTGGGAAGTGAGAAAGTGATCGATATTATTGGCCAATTATGAGAAGATAAGTAGTTTTATCCTTGCAGATATCTTTATGTTGTTCAAACTGCAATTATATATACTATTATATTATCAAGTATAACTTCTCCCAGCATATACTATCAAAGATACCTCCTAGGTCAGTAAAATGAAAACGACACAATCCCATTTTCTGGATATTTGATAAGGATATAGTAGTATTAAAAATGAGACAGAGCATGTGTCTTTAGCTATAAGGACTTTTGAGTTGTCTTATGCAAAGTGAGCTGTATTATATATAAAGCATACAAGGAATTAAAGTGGTTCACTCAACTCAAGCTCTCTCAGTATTATATAAATTACTTACTCTGAAAAGCCTTTAGGTGCAATAAGCTTAGAACAAACGAGAAAATAATGGACGCACCCTCATATCAGGAGATGACTTATGTTGAACATGTGCAACGCAGACACGAGGAAAAAGGATGCATTTATGCTTGGTTCGTTCGTACTTCTTTCTTCTTCTTCTTCTTTTTTTTTTTTTTTTGGGATGTTCGGGGGGGGGGGGTACTGGGGGTGAGTGGGGGGATTAAAAAATTTCATAATCTGCGACTGTGCTTTTAGTTTTGTTGCTTTTCTTTCTTACTTTGGCTAGGCTATCAAATGATCTACAATAATAAGAGTTTGAAATTTTTACACCATCAAGCATCAGATCACCTTTATCTATTATGTGTGAAAATGTAGAGGCGGATTCAGGATTTAAATTTAAAGAGTTTTAAGGTTTCCAGTGTTGAATTGATTATGTTGTTAAGTTATGGGTTCATATATAATATTTGTTGACAGAAGATTTTTACATATAAATTTATAATTTGTGTCCAAGGTTATGAGTTCAGTTGAAATGGTAGCATAAAGGCTACATCCGATCACGTATCTAAGCGTTGATTTATCAACTAGTAAAGAAAAAGACTGATGCTATATGTATTGACTAGTGGTGGCAAAATAGTTAAAAAGAAATAGTTATCCACCCATATTATGTACTAAAAAATGGGTTAGATAATGAACTTTTAAAAATGGGTCAAATATGGATAAGAACCATATTATCCATTTAGAAAATGGATAACTAATGAGTTTAACTTTCACATTCGTAAAGCCTCAAATTGGGGGTTTCTCAAGTTAGGGAGACTAGTAGAGCCCGTTTGGTTTTTGGCTTATTTTTCTCATTTTAGCTTAAAAACAAGTGCTTAAAAGCACTTTTTTATTTTATCAAAACACTACAAAATGGCTTAAAAGCACTTAAAATAGCCAATCCAGACGGGTTCTAGAAATTCTCCCAAAAGTGATCATATTCAAGAAGTCATGGATAATATGAACATCCATATTATCCGCCGCTTAATCAGTTTTTTATCCGTATTAAATATGGGCCGGATCGGATAATTTATCCGTTTTTGCATTACTCAAACGACCCGTCCCATATCCTACACGACCCGCCCGTTTGCCACTCGTAGTGTTGACCTATTATTTATGAAAGAAGAAAAAAGTCTGAAGAATCTACATGTTTATGGGGCTTTAAATTTTGAAGCATAAGAAATCGAGTAGCTTATAATTTTTATCATCATTTTTCTGATGCAGTTTGTTTGCAATGTGTTGCTGCTTCTGTTGCTACGAGACCTGTGAGTGCTGTTTGGACATACTTTGCTGCAACTGTGCTTGATGTCTTTCCTAGCCTTGTCAATGCTATGTTACTACCTAGTATGTTATTGTTATATGTAGTCTTTAACTCTGTTTCTTCGACACTTTCTGTAGTTATCTCAAGTTATATATTTAAAACTGGCTACTCTGTTTTTCCATCTGTCCTTGAGCCTAAGGTCTATCGGAAACAGCTTTTGTATCTTCTTAAGGTAGGGGTAATGTCTGGATACATACTACCCTTGTTAGATCTCACTTGTGAGATTATACTAGGACTATCCTCCCCCAGACTCAACATTACAGTGGGTATTTTGTTGTTATTGTTGTTGTTGTAGTCGTATATTTAAAACTGTGAAGTCGAATAAACTTGTTATGTAATTAATCTGATTGACCGTGTCAATTTGTTTCCATGATTTTCTCTAAAATTTTATCATAATCAGCAATGCGTTGGAGATTACTATTGTGAACGTTATAACGTGATTAAACTTTCATTTGTAATATAGGTATAATTTTGAAAGGAACTTAGAAATTTACTATATACAATATGTAAAAGATTACTTTTCTATTTTCAAACAAGGAAATTAACAAAGAAGCAATAACACAATAATACAATTCTGACAAGGGGGATTCAAAAAGTGCAAAACTAAGACATGAGATTCAAATCTAAAACTTAGAACAATTCTTGAACCACTTTCTATACTATTTCCCTTAAATTAAGGAGATTCAACAATTTATATATGCGCAAAAAAAGTTGTTTATTACCATATTCGCACAAGATTCAATTAAACAACCCTGTAGCTCCGGTCTTGTGTTCAAGGAAGTTGTTCTTTAAAAGCTGGCTAGAGTTGAAGCCTAACCATCAAATCACAGATAAATAGCTAGAACGCCAAAGATAAAAATGCAAGAAATACAGTTCCATGTTGGATACTCATGGCCTGGAGATTTGGCATATTATCATCAAATATATCCTTCGACACTGAGGGGTCGTTTGGTTGCCGGTTAGAGTTATGCAGGTATTAGTTATACATGCATTAGTTATGCAGGGATAAGTTATGCAGGGATAAGTAATGCAGGGATTAGTTATGCGGGTATTAGTTATGCAGAGATTATTTTTTTGAATATTTGGTTTGTTGTATTAGAAATTGATATACATTATATAAATTTTAAAGTAAAATGCTTGTTTACAACTATACCCCTGGCCTTCTTTTGCATTGTTTTTTCTCTTTCCATTTATGTAGGAAACAATTTAGTTAGGAACTTTGGGTGTTACTTTCACTTCTTCGTCATACTACTGAACTATGTGAAGTTTAGACATATTTGATTTTCACTTCTTAGTTTTGGTATTTCCATTTTCTAGTGGCTTCTCCAGTTTGCTTTTGCTAGTTTGTTCTTTAAAAATGAGAGAAGACAAGGTATATAGTTGGCAAGTGAAAGCAAGTGAAACCTGTTGACGGGTTGGCAGAGAAATAAGGAAGCCTTATGCGTAAAGCGATAGGGGTAAATTTGTCATTTCAGTATTTTATCCATGTATTACTAATACATGTATTAGTTATTCCATCTTCTACCCCGCATAAAATAATACACAGACTGACTCATAACTTATACATGTATTATTTATGCATAATTGAAAAATGTCAACCAAACATGGTATTAGTTATGCAGAATTTTATACAAAATAACTATTGCCTACCAAACATGGTATAAGTTATGTTACCCCTTATACATGAATAACCTTTCTTCTAACCAGCTACCAAACGACCTCTGAAGGGTTATGGTCAAAGATTATTAGGCTCTATAAACGCCAAGCCAGAGAAAGTAACTCGAGCAAAATTATCTTGACATTTTTACCTTAACATATGGCTACATTTATAGTATTACACTTGATAGTACAATTGGAGACATTCTCATATAGAAAAAAATTCTTGCAAGGGGTCTCAGTCTTTGCACAAAAATCAAAATCCAGGATCAAATTAAAGAATGTAACTCGAGTAAAATTTCTTCGGACATTTTACCTTCACATGTGCCTTAATTTACAATATTTCATTGGAATGTACAAGCGAAGAAACTCTCAGATGGAAATGATGCTCGTACAGGTCCCATTCTTTGCAACGAAATCAATCAAGGATCAAAGCCAACTCCATAATTGCAGTTTTACCTTAGCTACCAAGGATGGGATTTCTCCCTTCATCAATTTCAATGAGAAGAACATGCTCCGGGTCTGCACCAGTAGGTCCTTCTGAGTAGAGTGTGGGAAGGTAAGCCTTGTATGCTGGCAAGTAGCGGGATACAAAATCCCTCACCTACATAAAACAAAAAAGAAGAACAAAATATTGGACAACATTCCTCTGAAGCGTTAAGTGATGGATTGTCATTTAGTTTTTTGAGGAAGAATAAATATAAATTTTCACCTCCTCATCGGACATCCCAGGATTCCCATCAGCCCTCATTGCAATCTCCGCCTGAAAACATCCCACTATTCTAGTCAAATAATAGCACAAGCATAAATATCGAAAAAGGATAAAACCGTAGATGACATCACATAACGAACCTGCAAGCGCCACTGGTAGACATAACTTGGGTCCTGAATCTTGATAATAATCCACGATTTGACATACTTATACCATGCATCATAATAAGCTTCTAAGTTCTTGTTGACTATCTCAAGCTGCAATTTTGAAAATTTAATGATCCAAGAAATATAGATCTAAAGAGAAAGCACAAGCATGCATAGGAGAGTCAGGTAATTCAACCTGTGGATCAACAGCTTTGACAACTTCAGGTGGAAGGGGCTTGAAACCAAGCATCCAACCCTCGAACAAAATTACCTAATATCCAAAGTACTGACAATGATGTGAGACAATCATATCATTTCCCTTGAGTTGGATCAATGAGAAAAGTTATGTATTTACAAGAATTAGGCCATGATGCCACTCTTACGGTCTTAAATCATTTGAGAACTTGTACTCATACTTCTAGGCGTAGAAATGATGGAATTGGGGTCACTCTTGAATCATTAAACATAGATGACCAGAAACTCACTAAATTGCGAGCTCTAGATAAAAAGAGCTTCCTACCGTTAAAGGCCCTTCAACCTCTGGCCATGTGGAGGGATCAGCTCTGTCACCTCTCCCATTGTACGCAGACTGGAGATAAAGTTTTAGAATTAGTAAATAATATGCAGAACCCACTTGAGATTTAAATGTTTATGATCACTCTTACTTACTTTATCATATCGAGGAAGCTTCATCTTCACACCTGGATGGAGTTGAATATTAATTCAGCATATAGATCCAATGTCTAACCGAAAAATAGCACAAACTAAAAAGGTGCATTCACCTTCTTTTGTCACTTTGCTTAGCTCTGTCAGTGTTTCAACAGACAACGAGAGATCATGGCTTCCAGCATTTCCACGGAACTGAAGTGAAAAATGAAAATTTTACATCTCAAGTTTATGAGACCAAAAGAGCTACCAGCCATTTTAAGTGAAATTCACCATTTAATACCTCCAAAAGCAAGTTCTCCGGGTTGTCCTCTCTTAGTTTGGCCTAAAACCACATAATTTGTCAGCATTAGTGATATTACACAGAAACAAAATAGCAGAACACAAATTCATGAAACATTTACCTGTTCCTCTGCTGTTAAATAAAAATCATCAATGGATAGTGTAGCAGCTTTCCTGATTACACATGTTCAGCATAATTTTGGTCATTTCCGTTCCATAGAGGAAGCAAAATATCATGATGCAACTTACCTCCCTGTGATTTTAAACAGATATTCTAATGCAAATACTAGTGTTGTCTTTCCACATCCTTGAGGCGCACTGAAGCCAATCTACATGCCAAGAATATACCTTATCTTAGCGGTGTTTATGCTTATTTTTTGTAATTAGACCAGCATGATATTGACCTCAATGGAAATCAAACACACAAGAACCAAGTGAATGATAAAAATGTGTCTACCACCAATGGAGGAATTTCTTCGTCGTCTTTGAACTTTGAACTATGCTGTGAAATTTCCTGTTCACACCACAAGAAGACTGGAATATAGTAGTGGTAGAGTCTAATTTTTTGGGGCTCGTTGAGAGCCAGCTGGTTGAGCTGAAACAATCTACAAAGGCGAAATCCATACTCTATCCACTTATCAATGGACTCAGCCACTTTTTCAGGTGTTAGACCTGTCTTATCGATGAGGGGGCCTGAGCATATGAACTCATAAAGATCGTCCACAGAAGAAATTTGTGCTCGTTCTGTTGGAGCCACAGAATTCAATGGACCTTGCTTCCTTCCATTGGGGGAAAAATTACCACAAGAAGCAGAATTATCTTGCATCCAGGAATATCCACTGCCTGCACAACCATGAACAGGTTCACTAATTTCATATTCAAAACCTGCATTTATCTTGCAGCCTGCAGATATATCATTTATCTACAACCCCCCCCCACCCCCCCCCCCGGGTAGATATTTGTATTTGTCTTCTTCTTCTTTAATTAAACATAGCACATACAAATACTATTAACCCTCAATTAAGCATACAAATTAGGGATGTGGCTTTGAATTTAGAAGGAAAAACTTCAGGATCTTACTTAATTTTTTCCAGTTTCCAACTCCAACTCTTGAATTCCTACCCACCCACCTCCCTCCCAACAAAGCAGTTAATTTGTTCAACAAATTTATAGTCAACTCCGCCTTAACAGCATTATTTCCAGCACTAGGACAACACCAATTTTGGAGCCAACAGTTAAATATAAGCAAGAATTAGTTTCCAATTATAAGAATCGTGAAAATTTAGCTTACACCCACTTCAGCAAATATTTGCTAATTACAATTTTTAACAAGTTTTTGTGGGAACCAAATTACAAAGAGAAAATACACTTAAATTTATTTCTAGCGAAGTTGAAATGAAGCGACAATCAGTAGAGCTAAAAAAAATAGAAAATTTCCCAAAAATTAAAACCTGAAGAATTAGGGAGCTGAGGCAGCATTTGAGATGAAAAGGCAGAAGGCTTTGATCTTGGAGCTCCAGAAAGGGGAAAAGTGGACGACCCGATTTTATAGCATTTGATATCGCCGCAATTGTGAATATTAAAATCGTAAAAATGACGACAGCGTAAAGAAAATGAGGATGATGATGTGGAGGAAGCTGATAGCTGCCATGGCGACGGAGTCTGAGATAATATATTCAATCCCGCCATTGTCGGCTTTCTCTCTCTCACGCACACACAGTGAAACTGAGAGAGCAGTGTGTGAGTGTGTGTTGCAGCTTTTTCTGGGTCTAGAATTGCGGGAGAAGTCGATACTGTTAGTTAAAAACGATCGGTTAAGGTTGGCCTAGAACGTACGAACAATCTGACCTTGCTGCCATGTCGGATTTCCGAAAGTACCAAATTGCCACTCGAAATCTCCCGCCGCCACATAATTAAGCTGAGTACAGTTTAAGGGTCAGTTTGGTTTGAATACGGCTTATGCCACGATAAGTTATGCTGAAGATTAGTTATCTTGGTATTGTTTTTTATTCACTGTTTGATTTGTTGTATTAAAAATAATTATTGCAAAAAAGAAGGTATAAGTTATTCCGGCACTAATTACCCCATCGTTACAAGGTATAAGTTATCCCGATACTATTTTAATCCCGAGATAACTTACCAGATTTGCTAACCAACCAAAGTATTAAAGTGGTATTAAATTTGTATACCATCGCTATATCTACTTATACCTCGTACCAAACGACCCCTAAAGATTTTTCTTACACTAGCACTGTAATGTAATGTTAAAAAGTTATCAAATTATCAATTAATGGTTAACTATTATTCAAGGACGTTTATGTCGTAGATATATATATATATATATATATATATATATATATATATATATATATATATATATATATATATATATATATATATATATAT